CTTGGCTCACTATGATCGTGTCAAATAAGAATGATTTTACTACGAGCATTGTATATGCACATTTATACTTATACCTTTGTTAACATTCATATATTATGTTAAATTATTTCTACTAGGCTTTAACTCACCCTACTTGGAAAACCATTTTTGGATTATGATGAATATGACTCAGGAACTGAGGTAAAATGAATTGAAATGGAATGAATACGATTAATGGAATTGAGACAAATGGATTAAGACATAAAACTTGGCTCACTATGATCGTGTCAAATAAGAATGATTTTACTACGAGCATTGTATATGCACATTTATACTTATACCTTTGTTAACATTCGTATATTATGTTAAATTATTTCTACTAGGCTTTAACTCACCCTACTTGGAAAACCATTTTCAGGTGCTGGTGACATGCCTCCTCCAAAGACTTAGCTTGGGAGGACCTGGGAGCTGAAGGCTCTGTTTTGTTGTTTTGTATTTAATATTTTGCACAAGCCTAAGGCTTTATATGTATAGAGCTTAAGACTCTTTTTTTTGTTGTAACCAAGCACCGTCTTGGACAGATGTAAGTTTATATGGCATTTATTTTGTTGATCATTAACTTGATATCACATGCTATAGATTCAAGGTGGGGCTTATGAATGTATATCGCATGTGTCTTTTTGTAAATTGACTAATGAAAGTCGATTATTTCATTTATGCCATCTGGTATTAGCCATTTATAGAGGAATTGTTGCAATTATTTTGGGGCGTTACAGTTTTGTTGTATGGTTGTTTGTTCAACCCTTTAGGATCATGTTGTTTTTCTTTTGTTAATCTGTATGTTGTTTACTAATATAAGTGTTTTTCATGTTTTCAAAACAAAAAACAAAAAAAATGATACATTTGACAAAAGTTTAACAAGACAATAGTACACAAATGAACTACCCCTACATTTGTTGTTTCTATGAAATATAGTGAAACGACCTCACGGTATACCTTTCCAATTTAATAGGACTTAATAGTCTATAAGAAAATTGAAGAGACTTTCCGGTGCATACTTTTTTGGAATGAGACTTATGGTAAATTCTCCTTAATTTATTCCAACTTTTTTTTTTTACGACATAGTTGATTGAATGTAAAATTTGATTAGCTTCAACTTTAAGGAAATTATTTATCAAGAGGCAATTATAACTGGTATAGTCACAATCTTTCCACACATTTAACAAATAACCATCCATTATTATTAAATAATTCACCACTTCAATTATTAAAAAAAAAATAGTGAAATTTCATTTTTAAATTACTAATACAATAAAGCAATATTTGGCTCACTGAAATGAAATTGAATAAAATGGAATTGTCATTCCTTAGCCTCTCACAATGGTGAAAATGATTTTGTTTATAATATATCTTTTGATCATTTTTTTAGTGAACTGAACATGAAAATGAACATTATAATGGGATGATTATTTCATTCCAGATCATGTCAATTAATTGTACCTAACATAAGAACTAAATCATTCAGGAGCCTTATTTTTTAGATAGAATTCGGCGGCAAATGCCTTTTTGGCATTACCTCAAGTCGGCCCTGGTCTGGGGATATGCACAGTGCAAGTAATAATGGAAAATTATATAATAGTCTCAGAACATTATGTAATCATATTCCCTCACCAATCACCATTCAGTACACCCCCTTATGTTCCTTAATCACTCAATACAAATAATTAATAGTGTAACGCCCTCGAAATAATAACATTAAACAATCAATTAAGACATTCATTTACATACAAAATATCCACATTCTTCTATTCATCAGAGTTTCATTACAAAAGTATTACATGTTAACAACAAAAGCAAAATGCCCTACAGGCTTATAGCTTTCCAAGTTAACACTCGGTTACAACAAAAGAGTACTAACTCATCTACACATTGCAAGCGCCTAATGGGCTTGAAACTCTATACATGTATACATCAAAAGAAGGAACTTAACAACAAAAATCTGCGCCGCCTCTAAAGCCCTGCCCAAAGCTATGGACCTTGGAAGTGGCATGCTTACCACTGAACGCTTACGCTGAAAATGATATTCCCATATAGGGTGAGCCACCAGGCATCCCCAGTAGAAAAAACACTAAAACACCACACATGAACAATGACTAAAAGAGTTTAGCAATTGATAGATGGCCAAACTGCAAACATCCACATCAATCACGTTTTATGCATCCGCTTATGAGTCCAAGTTACTTTTCCTTTTCCCTTTTTCAACTATGATATGTATAAAAACTATTATCCCCACATCACAGATAAGCATATAAGCTTATCCACATTCTAAACAGATATGTATAACAACAGTATCCCACATTCACAGATAGCATATAAGCTGTATCCACACTTCACAAAATAAGCATGATGAGCTCTATCTTCACTTCTCCTCAAGACACGCATATAGCTGTATTTCTACGGAGTTTCATCCCCTATCTTCTCCCAATACTATCCGGTTTAGAGGTACATCCCCCATCTTCCGCCTAAAACCGTCGGAGTTACATCCCCCATCTCTCCTCTAACACATAACGATATAGCAAAACAACATTGGTTCCTATATACAATCACTTCCAATACATTACAGTTAAAATGTATTCTATCAACCGTCAAATCCATGACACATTTCCATTGATCTAGTTCTCCTGTCTTGCCATAAATCCGATCATGCAGTTGTCCTACACCAATACACGACATATCTCCACGATAGCCCAAAAGCAGATTATTTCTAAACAGAAAAATAAAGCACAACTGGATATCATCAAACATTTCATTCGGTGTAATAAACCAATTCAACTACACCCCTTTAACCCGCATGCACTCTCACATTTACTCAAACAATTCCATTCTCATCTTCCTCATTCTCGACAATTAAATTATGCACCAATTAATCAGATCAATGCTTAATAGGTTCATTTTCCATATTACCATTAACAACCCTATAGGTCCCACTTTTCATCAATGATTCACACATTTATTCCATTTCTCTATACCAAACAGCATCTAGCGTTTATTATAAATAAAAACCCCAACTTTTGTAAAATAACACAAAAGGCTCCCAAACCTTTCACAAAAATTACCAAATCCAAACAGACCTTACCACTAGGAAGCGAAGGCAACTCGGAAGGCCAGAGCCGAAGACAACCAAGCATGACCCGAGGATACGAGGAGAGCACAGGAGTGCGTCGCGCCCACAGGCAAGACGGCCAACTCCACAAAACCGAACACAACGCACCCGCGCCAACAACGGACACCGCGCTCGGAGCACCAGACGTACGCCCCCCAACATAACGAATCACCCCACATAGACCATTATTACACTCATCTACAGCACTCCATGAGAAACAAAAGCCCGGACGACGACGACAGGGCGCTGAAACAGTGCGAGATCTGAGACCGACACAGCACGACCGCCGTGCGAAACGCAAACAAACCAACACGGCGCAACGCAACTAGCGAGACAGTACGTGCGCAACAAGCGACACACGATAGAAAGCACACAACGCCGGTGCAAGCAAGAGCCAACCACGAAGCAAATACCCAACATGCGGCGCAAGCCACCGCCACAGAACCACGACAACCAAGCGAGCATAGAAACCAAACGCCGACACCAGACAAAATTCACCAGGAAAGATCGCAACACACAGACGCCCCAACTCCAAAACTCACACAACTCAGCCACCGCCACACGACACGGCACCCACCCCCCAAAACAACCACCCCCCAAAAAACTCGACATCACGCCGGAAAACACAAACCCAAACATCTCAAAATACCAAAGATTTAAAGCACAGAAAACCATTATACCTTAATGATCTATTTGGAAATTAAATAAAAAAGGAAGTTGAATAGAAAATGCCAACGTGCTCCAAATCTCAAAATTTTCAGATTAAAATGTAGCCCTCGACGATCAACAACTTTTTTGTAAAGGCCAAAGGTGAGCAAATCACTCCTACTAGATCAAAACCTAGAGTGAAGGTAGAGTTCTAGAGTGAGAGGTTCAACAATGATGTTTTTGGAAAAGTATGAGAGAGAAGAGAAAGTGAAAAAGTGATTTGAAAAGTCAAAACTCGGAACTTAAACCCAGTCGCCATGCTCGACCGTCTGAACCCCCGCTCGAGCGGCACTCACAGACTCCCGCTCGAGCGGCCAAACTCCCGCTCGAGCTCCGGATGCACTCTCCCAGCATCTCGACACAACAGGTCCCCTGCTCAAGCGCTCGAAGCCCCGCTTGAGCGTCACTTACGACCTCCCGCTCGAGCGGCCAATCGCCGCTCGAGCGTCCAACACTGCACAGGAAATACTGGATGGGTGTATTCCCCGCTCGAGCGTCAAACTCCCCGCTCGAGCGGACAGGCCAAAATCTGGGCAACTAGTTTTGGTTTCTAAACTCAACCAACCTGTAACAAACCTGCCCAACACATCCTATAACTCAAATACAAAATAAGAAAGGATGTAAACAAGATAATAACCAACTACCAACATCCACGGACACATGTCCGGATCACTATACAACAAGGGTAAATCCGGGATCGCTATAAATAGTCCACTTTCTCCTCCAATGATACTACCATGGAGTATCACGTGATCGAACTCCCAGACTATCGAATAATCACAAGAAATGCATGCACCAAGCTAAACCAAGTATAGTTCTAAAAAATAAAAACAGCTAACCCAAATAGATATTTATGTGAATTTTTTTTATTTTTTTATTTTAGAAGATATATTACAAATAGGGAAAATTATATTTTATCCTCTTGGATTATCACCCTATCAAATTAGACAATTAACCATGAAGGAAATCCCAACACATTCACGAGAACATAAAAAATTCAACGATCACAAGAGAAAATCTCATCAATACAAACATCCAACTATGAAACATTCTCTACCATACACCAACATATGACAAACATAACAAATAAATAAAAAAAAAGTAAAGACGTACATGTAGTTTAAAAGAGTCAAATCCAAAAGCTTCTTAATTAACGAATTAATTCATCAAAATCTGTGTCTGACAGGTACCCATTCGATCCTCCGTCAAGATTTGAAGCAAGATCATCAGCAAGATCATCATCAACATTTGATGGAAAAAGACGCAAATCACCAATTGTCCAGTAACCATCAGTAGAGAAAATGCTACAACAGTAAACGTCAATCACAGGTAACTCAGCACCAATCTCAAAATGATTCTCCCAAGCCTCCTGCAGTAGTAATGCAGATTGGAGGTTCCTTACCACATTGTCTATCGAGGGTCGCCAGTTGTCCTGATCAAGTAGACAACTTATTGCAATATCGACAAATTCCTTCAAGCATTCGGGTGCTATTTTCCCAATCAGATTTGGATCAATGATTCGATCAATGGTTTTGATACTATTCATGAACTGATCTACTAATGACTTGCAATCCCCATCTAGCTCATAATATGGCTTCTTAGCACACAATACTGACAACAACACCATACCAAATGAATATACGTCAGATTTTGTTGTTAATTTTCCGTGCATCCAGAGCTCTGGTGCCCTATATCCCATAGTACCGCAAACATTTGAATCCGTTAGTGTTACAAATGTAGTGTTATTGGGTATTAATTTGGAAAACCTAAAATGAGTAAGTTTTGCAACCCAATTCTCGTCCAACAGAATATTAGCTGGCTTTATGTCACCGTGGATGACTCTTTGCTTCGCATTCTCATGGAGATGTTGTAGTCCTAGAGCTGCACCAATGCAGATCTTGAGTCGTTCTTTCCACAGAAGTGTATTGTTGTTTGTGTTGGACAAATGATCTTCCAAGGATCCATTCTCCATGTAATCATACACGCCAATTAACTCTGGTTTCACATTGCAAAATCCAATCAAAGAGACTGTGGGGGTGATTCTCGAGCAGGCAGTGTACCTCAATGTCAGCCCAATCCTCTTCCCAATTTTGCGATGCCAAGGCATTGAACCTTTTGATCATAACAATACTAGTTTCCCCATCCAAAAATCCTTTGTACACCTTGTAAAGTCCATTGGTTTCAATCCAAAGAAGCTTATTGAAATCATTTGTGGCTGCTTGAATATCAGCTAGTGAGAAATGACGGTGTGGTTGGTTAACACCGTCTGAAAGTGGTTCCAAAAACAAATCCTTTGACAGTCCACTCTTAGAACTGTTTTCCTTTCTCTCCCTCCACCAACGATTCATACCTTTAGGCACAATTACAAAACCCTTTAACGCCTTTCCAATTATTCCCTCTGATCTTCCTTTATGTTGTGACAACAATGCAAGATCAAGGCTTCCCACCACTTCAGCCATTGTAGGCCTTTCCTTTGGACGATTATGTAAACAATTGTAGGCAACTTCTACAAAACACTTCAAACTCTGCGGTGTTATTCGTTCACTCAAAGAGGGATCAATGATTAGATCAAGCTTTCCCTTTTTAATGCAATCTTGAGCCCACAGGATTAAACTAATTTGCTCCTCCTCGAGTCTTTCATCCACGGGCGGCCTCCCACAGAGCAATTCCAACAACACCACACCAAAGGCATACACATCAGATTTCTTGGTTAGTCTGTGGGTATGGAAATAATCTGGATCTAAATAGCAAATGTACCTTTGACTCTCGGACTAACGTGGGTTTCTGAATTGTTTGTAGTGCCTTTGGACAGCCCAAATTCTGAAATCTTGGCTACCCAATTCTCATCCAACAGAATGTTTGTGCTATTCACATCTCGGTGTATGAAACTTTGATCGGTACCAGTATGAAGGTAGTCTAACCCTCGTGCTGCACCGATGCAAATGTCGAGCCTTCGCTCCCATGTGAGATGAAAAGTACTAATTTCGGTTTGGTTTCTTCTACTTCTTTTGTAGAGATGATCGGCAAGGGTCCCACGGGCCATATATTCGTAAGCAAGGATCATTTCCTGGCAATCACTACATTGGCCAATCAGAGCAACGAGATGAGTATAGAAAGCATGTTGATCTCAGTCCAGAACTCTTCTGCACCCTGCTTGAACTCTGCATTCAACCGCTTTATGGCGACAGCTGTAGCACCGTTGTCGATGAACCCCTTGTATACCTTACCAAATCCGCCAACCCCAATAACTAAATTTTCATTAAAGTTGATTGTGGTTGATTGTATCTCAGCTAGTGAAAAGCGACGGCATGAGTACTCGGATTCAATCACAACACTTGAAATTGCATCATCAGCTGCTAAACCTGACATATCTGTGATATTTGGGAGTCTAAATAATATGGAAGAATATACCAGTAAAACTAGAAGATGATCAAAGATGAGTTTTTGAGAGATGAGAAAGAAACACAGAACAGAGTGGTCTCTGATTGAAATTAATTTGTGGTCCATGTAGCGCACTGACGACTGGACTTAGGGAATAGAATTCAACACTCGGTGTGCAGAAGTTATTGGTTAGTCCATGGCAAGGCTATGTGGCACTTCACAAGCATTGTGATTGGTGGAAGGGTTGAGGCCCACAATTTTATATTAAATGATTAAAGAATATAAAAAAACATAAGAATTTGTGATTGGTCTAATATGATCACGCAATATCCAAGATCAACTAATAATTTTTCTTCTGTGTGTGACTTCAATGTGGACCCCCATTTCACCAACCTTACAGTGTGATTGTGGGCCCTTCCTCTTCCTGTGTGTAAATTCATGACTTATTGTTACATAATTAAGTAGTTTTAATGTGTAGTATTACCTAACTCCTTAGAGTCTAACTCTAATAGGTTTAGAAAATAGGCTTGTATATATTTTTCTTTTAGGAAATAGTTAAACAATTTCAAATGAGGACTCAATAAATTATAAAGTATAAAATGGAACTTAAACAGTTTGGTGTCCAAAAATATGATTTTTGAGTAATTGGTACTTTTTTATTTTTGAACTTTTTTTTAATCCTTTTCAAACCGTTTGAGTGCATCATCACTGATGTAACCAAATTGTTATTGGCCAAAATTATTTATTGTTGAATGTATGATATGTAGGCTTAAATTATCTGCTTCTTTCTCTATGAACTTGTTAGGGATGCATTGGTTAATTTTTTTTAGATAAATTACAATTACACCTTCTGAAATTTATTTAAAATATAAATTATCTTATATGTTTTTAAAAATTAAAAATGCCCCTTGTTAAAAATTTTCATTTATTAAAATTATACAATTTCTACTTACTCAATAATAAAATTGTAAAAATTATTAATTGAAATACATTTATAATATCATTAAAAATTATTAATTAATTAATAAAAAGGTTCATCTGAAATTGGATTATCCGATGCTTTTCTCTCATTTCTATCTTTTCTCTCTTTTATTATTGTATATTTTATTCTTTATTATTTCTGTTGTGATTGTTGTGTGGTGGGATGATGGAATAGGTCAATCTGCAAAAAAGGGTTGGAAAGGGGTTCCAATTCTAATTCATTTTAATTTAGTTGGGTCGCTTGCTTTTTCTTTAAAATCTGAACCTTTGTTTTCCTATGATACTAGGAATGATCATTTTTTCACAAATTAAAAGACTAATTTGATCTTTGAAAAATCTAGAAATCCCCTAGATGTTGATTTGTGATTATGTATCAATTTTAAGCAGAATATAACAATCTCAATCAAACAATCAAGACAAAGAGACACAACGATTTAACGTGGAAAAAACAACAATTGGACACCTCCAACTGTGATCAAAAAACCACGGGCAACAGCCACAAAACAATCCACTAAGAAGATTTAAAGGAATTACACAGGTATACTCTCAATTACCTAGCGAATCCACAACGCATAATTGAACCAACCTCTATGTGCCTCTTCCAACCTGTCTTCACCTCGGAATTGTCTTTACGATGAGCCACCTCGGAATCCACCAAAGCTTCAGGCTCGAATTCTTCAGAATCCACCGAAGAATAACTCTCTTTTTTGTAGAACAAAACACAACCTTTGATGTACTCTCTTTAAATCATGAGTTGAATATTCAATAAAACATCAAAGAAAACTAGCAAAATCTCTCCAGATATAAACCTTAAGATCCAAAAAGAAGATCTGGAGTAGTTCCTCTAATGTTGGGAGAAAACCAACTATTTATAGAAAATCAAAGCAATCCTAGTTTCAGAAGAAAACCAACTCTTTAACAAATCTGGAAATCTGGGATCGCGCGGTCCGCTCGAGCGCCCTTTTCTTCGCTCGAGCGGAGACTTCAAATTCTGTGATTTCATACAGGCTCCACGCTCGAGCGTCGGTTTTGCCGCTCGAGCGGCGAATCACACCATCCAGTATTTTTTCAGGCGACTGCAGAGATGCTGAGAGCTTCCAATCCCCACTCGAGCGTCCCTTTCCCCGCTCGAGCGGGAAGGCCAAAACTAGAAAAACTGGAAAAATATAACATGATCGGACAGGCAACTTTGAATGTATTTTTGAACGCTTTATCATCACAAACGAAGTGGACTTGGCTAGGACATAATCAGCGAAGTGGCAATCTTGAACGCTTTATCATCACAAACTTCTCTGAAAAGCACAATTCGGGTTGGATTCGCATCTAAACACTTATAGCTTCACTGAAATAAAAAGTGCGAATAAAATTACAACTCAAAGGAGTTTTGTCAAACGAGATTGCCAAGAAATAAAACCTAACAATCTTGTTGGATAATCGTGCAGGAGCCCCTTTTGGATTCGTTTGTGCATCTATATAATCTATCTATCTATCTATCTATCTATCTATCTATATCTACACTATATATTAAGTAAAAGGGGGTTTCTAATCCCCAAAGCATGTAGGAGCTCCAATATGCCAATCCTAATTTTCTAATTTTTTTTAAAAAAAAAAAATTAACCTCAGCATTTATTAACTTCTCTCAACCCATAAGACTTTTTGACTTCTCTCATAATTATTGTAGTACATTTTCTAAAACAAATAATTTGTATATTAAAAAAATTTAAAACAAATATAAATATCTATATTTATATCTATATCTATATCTATCTATTTATTTATATATATCTCTAACCCACAAGTTTTGTGGGAGTTCCAATATCCGAACCTTAATTTCTTAATTTTTTTGATTTTTTTGAAAAAAAAAAACTTAGCATTTATTAAATTTTTCCGAGTCTTTTTAGCTTGTCCAATACACACACTCTATTTAACTTTTTACATACCTATTGCAAACAGTGAGTCTCATTTTTGTTTTCTCCTTCTTGACTTCTCACTTCTGCACTTTCAACTTCAGTGACCACATATACAAACAGTAAGTCTTCTTTTTGTTTTCTCCTTCTTGACTTTTCCTTTTGTTTACTGTTTTAATATTGTAGTTAGATAGCGTATAAAAATATTTGTGATTTGTCTAGCGAATAAAAAATTATAATTTGATTTTTTAATATGATTGAAGTTAGATAAATATAAACTCTCACAAAGAGAAAAATGTGATTATAATTAGTTGAATGATTATTTTTTTAATGTGATTGTAGTTAGTTTAATAGCTCTTTTTTTTCATTTGTTTATTTTATTATGGGAAAAATGTGATGTGATTGCAGTTTGTTCAATGATTCTTTTTTTTAATATGATTGTTGTAGTTAGTTCAATGTTTTTTTTTAATGTTATTTAATCTTTTTATTTACTATTTTAATTTTATTTTTAATATTTATTTTTTTTATTATGAGAAAAATGTGATGTGATTATAGTTTGTTCAATGACTTTTTATTTACTATTTTAATTTTATTTTTTATATGATTGAAGTTAGATAAACATAAACACTCACGAAGAAAAAAAAAAATGATTGTAGTTAGTTCAATGGTTTTTTTTTTTTAATGTGATTGTAGTTAGTCAATG